CTCATTGCTTTCTCATTTCCACGTGTTCTTTTGTTATTTATAACGTTATTTTCTTTAATTATTTTTTTTCTATTTCATTAAAAATAAAATACAAATAAACATTAAAAATTAATATAATAATTATTCTTTGAAGTTTTCTTCAAATGAATTAATCAAAATGACAGAAAGACACATGTTATAAATATGTTTATTCTATTTGATACAAAATATTTATTATTATAAGAAACTGTATGAATTATTAATAAAATACTTATCAATTAATTATTCAATTTTGATAATATACTTTTTTGAAGACATACAAGATAAACTATTTTAGATTCAATATTTATATTTCTAATAAACTAAATTTATACTTTCATTTTATTCATCAATTTCTTAACTCTTTGTTTATTTATTTCTATTTATTATTGTATCAACAATAACATTCATAAACAAATAGATTTATTCAATTATTATCATTTTATATTTATATTATCATTTATATCAAAAAGAATAAATAAGAAAAGAATAATAATAATATAAATGATAATCAATTATAATTTATTTCTACTTCAATTTATATTGTATTTCATTTATTGTATTTCTATTTCATTCATCATAATTCAAAACATTTTCTTGGTATTCTTTTATTTTTCTTTAATTCTTCTTCACATCCACATTCATAAAAACATCCATATCCAAATGATGTAATTGATGATGGTATATTAATTGATTTTAGTGATGTACAATAATTAAAACAATAATTTCCTATTTTACTAATTGATGATGGTATATTAATTGATTTTAATGATGAACAATATCTAAAACAACAATCTCCTATTTTTATAATTGATGATGGAATATTAATAGATTTTAATGATTCACATCCATAAAAACATTTATATCCTAATTTGGTAATTGAAGATGGAATAATAAATTCATTAATATCTTTCTTGCAAATATTCTTTCCATTGATTATTTCTAGATTTTCTGGTATTTCACAATTAATTAACACTGGTTCATTCATAAATATTCTTTCTTGACTAATAAATTGTATATTATCTATATTAATTGATTTTAATGATATACAATAATAAAAACAATCATTTCCTAATTCATTAATTGAAGATGGAATATTAATTGATTTTAATGATGAACATCCAATAAAACAACAATCTCCTATTTCATTAATTGTTGTTGGTATATTAATTGATGCTAATGAATCACAACCACTAAAACACTGATATCCAAGTGATTTAACTTCTGGTGGTATTGTATTTCCATATGATTTTCTATCTTCTTCTGTATATTCTATATTTTTACATTCATTTCCTTGTTCTTTCTCTTGTAAATATGTTGAATAACTTACTTTATACCATATTACTTTTTTAAATATTTTTCCATCATTAAATATTTCATCATATTTATTATAAATATGAAATGTTTCAATGTTAGTAAATAATTTTCTTGAATATTTATTTAATGGAATTGGATTAAAATGAAATCGTTCAATATTTCCTCTAAATCTTTTAACACCCATTTCTAAATTAATAAAGTCATTAATATCATTAAAATACATTGATGTTATCATTATTTCATTATATCCTAATTTCATTCTTGATTTATTATTTATTAGTTGTTTTTATAGTTCTTTTATTTTTATGTTTTAATTTCTTCTTTTTTATTATTTTATCATCATTCTATTTTTATTAATTGATATTTGTTATGAAAAACATTAAATAATAAGAAATAAAATAAAATGATAATTATTTTTATTTTTAATAAATTATAATTATTAAATATTTCATTTTATTTTATATTTTATTCATTGTTTCATTTTATATTTTATTTTTATTTAATAATATAATAATAAAATATGATAAAAGATAATAAATATAATAATAAATGAATAATCAATATATTTATAATAAAAGATAATATGATTAATGATATAATTAATGATAATATAATTAATGATAAATAATTATGATTTTATTTATTCTATTATCTTTTATTTTTATTCATTCTTAATTTATTCTTTTCTTTCTTTATTTTTATTATTATTAATTAGATTCGAAGATATCACGTCAGAGACAAAACACACTTCACTAAATTATTATCATCATTCAAATCTACCAGTTATGGACTGGTTATGACATTGCGTTTGGTTAGAAAAACGTCTTAATCAATACTACAAGAATAACAGTGATATTATGTACAATAATGTGATATCATTGATAATAAAGATGAGTATTATAAGATGTATTATACTTGTATGATACAGTATTATTGATATATAGATAT